CGTGGCCAACTTTGGAGTTGCGGCGCTCATCTCGCTTTATTGGCCGAGGGAGCCAGTGTACAGCTTCCGGGTCATGTGGCCAGCAGGACTAAGCCACTTCTGGCGAACCAGAGCAGTGCACGGAAACGCCATTTACCTTCCCGCCGGAGTGGTACCTATTTATCTACTTGCACTTTGACGTGCTTTCGAACTGCTAGGTTGGCAGGAGCAGGGACCGAGCGACGCGAGCTCACCCCGTTGCGGGGATTCGAACCACCGACCTTCTGATCAGCAACTCCTGGGCTCTGTGGTTTAACCCACAGCGCCACCCGTGTCCCCTTTAGCAGTTTACATAGGTATATCATAATTTCTAACCATCTTTTTTTTAATCACACTTAAAACAACTTCACGTTTTATCACTTACAAATAATACTATTTTAAACTACCCTGTCTTCTACTTCTAACCCTACAGCCTATATCCACTTCTCAGATTTAAATATTAACTTATTTTTTCAAACATTCCTTAAACTTCTTCCAGTCTTCTTCCACCGTCTCTTCTCTCTGGTCTCGGAGTCTCCCGGTCAGTTCGGCAAGTTCCATATATCTATCTATTACATTTCTCAAAGGAACTCAAGGTGTTAGCACACTGTTCTCTCCTTGCCCATTTGAGCTTCACAACATCCCTGCGAGGTAGGTTCGGCTGACTGGCCCAAGGTGAGCTTTACGGGTGAGTGAGGATTCGGAGTCTGCTGTCTCCTGGGTCTCTAGTCCAGCGCTCTAACCACTATGCCACACTGTTAATGAATGGCAAAGACTAGCAATTTTCTGTTAAATGACACAGGTCAAAGCAGCGCTGGAGGTGTCCCCATCTGGCAGAAGCTTCGGAACAAACGCATTCACCACTGGCCCAATTGCCTTGCACTTACCATCACTTCACTGTGCATAACGCTGTGCAATCTCCCCCCCCCCAATGCAAAAATTAGACAAAACTTTATTTGCAGCTTTGAGTGGGAGTGCGTCCATATGCAAACTCTCCTCCACTTCCTGTTCTTTGAGATGATGGCAGGGAAAATTCATTAACACAGAGAGACAAGATGAAGGATGCTGGTATATGGTCCCCAGATCTGAATAGCAGGGTGGATAAGAACCTAAACCCACTTAGTCCAGCATCCTAGTCCATCACAGTCTCCTGTGGGAGGAAATCCCTCACTTTAGCTATCCATTGCGTGAATAAATCCTATCGTTTATCTGTCCTGGATATACAGAATTTGGCTTCTTTACAATAAGAAAGCTTGATAAAAAACATAGATATTTTTTTCTTTGTTTCCCAATATGCATGCAGAGCGTATTGGAAGCAAAGAAGCATTCTTGCAGCAGATTTCCCAGGGAGCAATATATCGAAACACCCCCCACCCAGTTCCTTTCTGGCCAGAACCTCTCTGCTCAGCTTCTCCCAGGCAGCTCAAACGCAAATTGCCTTCCTCTCATCTGGAGAAGCAATCTGCGCTGGGGATCTCATTCCAAGCAACAGAGAGAGGTCCCCAGCTATCAGGAGACCGGCTCTCCTGTCACTTCCCAGTACTTCTTCACACAGAGCGTACTTAAACTATGGAACTCACTGCCACAGTATTGATTGGCCATGGATGGCTTTCATGGCGGAGGAGAAAAATTCACAGAGGGGACGGCTGTCGATGGCTCCTAGCCAGGATGGCTCTGTTCTGCCTCCATGGTCAGAGGCAGCGATGCTTCTGAATTCTGGGCGCAGGAAATCGCAGGAGAGCAGAGTTGCTCTTGGGCTCAAATCCTGCATTCTGGTTCCCCGCAGCCACAGTGATAAGAGGATGCTGGACTAGGTGGGCCTTGGTCTAATCCAGGGGTCAGCAAACTTTTCCAGCAGGGGGCCGGTCCACTGTCCCTCACACCTTGTGGGGGGCCGGACTACATTTTTTTTGGGGGGGGGAGAATGAATTCCTGTGCCCCCACAAATAACCCAGAGATGCATTTTAAATAAAAGGACACATTCTACTCTTGTAAAAACATGCTGATTCCTGGACCGTCCGCGGGCTGGATTTAGAAGATGATTGGGCCAGATCCAGCCCCCGGGCCTTAGTTTGCCTAAGGTAAAGGTAAAGGGACCCCTGACCATTAGGTCCAGTCGTGACCGACTCTGGGGTTGCGGCACTCATCTTGCTTTATTGGCCGAGGGAGCCGGCGTACAGCTTCCGGGTCATGTGGCCAGCAGGACTAAGCCACATCTGGCGAACCAGAGCCCTTCCCGCTGGAGCGGTACCTATTTATCTACTTGCACTTTGACGTGTTTTCGAACTGCTAGGTTGACGGAAGGAGCAGGGACCGAGCAATGGGAGCTCACCCCGTCGCGGGGATTCGAACCACCGACCTTCTGATCGGCAAGTCCTAGGCTCAGTGGTTTAACCCACAGCACCACCCGCATCCCATTAGTTTGCCTACCTATGGTCTAATCCATCGTGCTCTTTTTATTTTCTTATGAGCTCCCACCCCAGAGATCCTTTTTACGATTAAGGAATATTCCTGGGACTTTCTGCAAGCGAAGCCTGCTTCCCTGCTGAGCTAAGCTAAGCCGATCCCTGATTCTGATGAATATTCCCGCACAGGGGGAGGCAGAAGACAGACCCCCCCCTTAGCCGTGCTTATGAGAGCACTCAACATTTTGCAATTTCTTCATCCCCACGTGACACCGCCGTTAGGACGTTGCAGGTTTCAATGCCCAAATAAAATTGGATGCTTCAGATCGGACCCACTGTGTTTATGCTAGCAAGCTTCTGAGCTACACAGAACCACCACCCTCTTTCCCATTTCTGTGCCACATACAAGTTGCGGCCAGGAGGTGCTGGGGGGGGGGGGAGGAAGGGAGAGGATCTATTAATATCTTTGCTGAGGCAGCCGGCCAGGCTTAATCCTGGCTTGAAGTGCTGACTCCCCCAAACCTACCCAAAAACTGGGTTACTGCCATGGCTGAGTTCCTTCACATTGGGAAGAAAAGCAGGAGGGCGGGCATGAGAGGCCTCATCCTGCACTCCTGGAAGGAGATGCTGGGGAAAATACGCTGCTTATAAATCTGTTGCCATAGAGCAGCGGGCAGGGAGAGGACACCTCAGATCTCAGGGCTGAAAGTTAGAATCATAGAATTGTAGATTTGGAAAACTGTTGAGCTTTTTTTTCTTTTATTTTAGGAAACCACCAAAATTTTGAGCTTTTTGGGGGAGACCTCCACCTAAAATTGTGATTTTAAGCCATGGGTAGGCAAACTAAGGCCCGGGGGGCCAGATCCAGCCCAATAGCCTTCTAAATCCAGTCCGTGGATGGTCCGGGATTCAGCGTGTTTTTACAAGAGTAGAATGTGTCCTTTTATTTAAAATGCATATCTGGGTTATTTGTGGGGCATAGGAATTCGTTCATCCCCCCCCCCTAAAAAAGAAATATAGTCCGGCCCCCCACAAGGTCTGAGGGACAGTCGACCCGCCCCCTGCTGAAAAAGTTTGCTGACCCCTGTTTGAAGCTGTTTCCGCTGCTTTTTCCATTGCGTTGACAGACATCTGGGTTTCCCCTGACATTTTGCCAATTTGGCAGAACCCTTTCCTGATGCCATTTTCACACCCGAAAACCAAGACATGTCAGGAATGGCAAGCCTAGCCTGGGTGAATTTTTGCATAGAAAGAGGCAGTGTAGTGTAGTGGTTCAAGTGTTGGACTAGCGCCTGGGAGAGGCCAGAGTTTGAATCCCGACACTCAACCATGAAACTCTCCAGAGGTGACCTTGAGGGTTAGAAGAGGGTTGTTGTGGGGATTAAATGAGGAGACCCATGCATGCTCCCTTGAGCTCTTTGGAGGAAAATATGGCATATTTCAATGGCTGCAGGTTCTTGTGCTCATGTTCTGCTCAAAGGTATCTCCATCTGGTTGGCTGCTGTGAGACCAAGATGCGGATCTATCTACTTATATCATGTTCTTATGTAAGTTAAATTGTTCCTAATGGTCCTAATGCTAGCACATTTGCAAAGCTAAGCAGGGTCCGCTCTGGTTTCAAGTTGGATGGGAGACCATGTGTTGAGATTCTTGCATTGCAGGGGGTTGGACTAGATGACCCTAGAGGTCCCTCCTGTTCTATTATTCTAATAATAACCCGCTCTGGGACCTTTGTTGTTGTTGTTTAGTCATGTCCGCCTCTTCGTGACCCCATGGACCAGAGCACGCCAGGCACTCCTGTCTTCCACTGCCCCCCCCTCGCAGTTTGGTCAAACTCATGCTGGTAGCTTCGAGAACACTGTCCCACCATCTCGTCCTCTGTCGTCCCCTTCTCCTTGTGCCCTCCATCTTTCCCAGCATCGGGGTCTTTTCCAGGGAGTCTTCTCTTCTCCCGAGGTGGCCAAAGTCTTGGAGCCTCAGCTTCAGGATCTGTCCTTCCAGTGAGCACTCAGGGCTGATTTCCTTCAGAATGGAGAGGTTTGATCTTCTTGCAGTCCATGGGACTCTCCAGAGTCTCCTCCAGCACCAGAATTCAAAAGCATCAATTCTTCTGCGACCAGCCTTCTTTATGGTCCAGCTCTCACTTCCATACATCACCACTGTGAAAACCAGAGCTTTAACTATACGGACCTTTGTTGGCAAGGTGATGTCTCTTGGCAGGGATACTGGAGTGGCTTGCCGGTTCCTGCTCCAGGTGGATCACGTTTGGTCAAAACTCTCCACTATGACCTGTCCATCTTGGGTGGCCCTGCACGGCAGAGCTCATAGCTTCTCTGAGTTATTCAGGCTCCTTTGCCACGGCAAGGCAGTGATCCATGAAGGGGTTTGGGACCTTAGGGAGAAGGAACGCAGCAACCAGTCTGCCCTGGGTGCCAATGATGGGTGCGTGTGAGCGTGCAAGCCAGCTAGCCCCCTAACCTGGGTGGGGCTTCTGCTGCGCCTTTAAGAGCCGGCGGGGCGGGGCGCCCGGTGCCTGGTCCGGAGCCCAGAAGCCGCCCTGCTTGTTCGCCGGCGCAAGCCAGAAGGAGGCGCTCCCTGAAGGCGCGGCTGCTGGCGCCGGGCATCCTGGGCCAGGGAACCCGCGCCGGGTCTTGCAGGCTGCCGGCTCCGGCACTCTCCATCTGCCCTCGGCGGGGCCATCCTGCCGGCGCGCTCCCTGCATCCCTCTCTCCATCCCCCGCATCTGGTACCCATCGCCTGGCAACCTCCATCCTCCATCCTCTGCGGATGCTCCGCTCTTGCCCCGCCGACCTCGAGCCCTAGAACCGCCGGGATATTTTTCCTCTTCCCTCCTCGGGGGGCTTTCTTCACATGCAGCGCCCGGCTGAGAGGGGCTCGCCGCTGTATCCCCCCACCCCACTCCAAGCTGCGATGCCCACGGTGGGCGTGGGCCGCCCATCCCCCAGCGGAGCAGCCTCGCTGCCCGGCAGCGCCCAAGCCGCCCTCTTTGGCTTCTAGAGAGATCTGCAAGGGCGATAGAGGAGCGGCGCTGTGGGGAGGGGGGGGGCAGAGGACAGGAGAGCCCCCCGGGGGACGCGCACCCCGTGCAACATTAACTCTTTGTCCGCCGCCGCCGCGGAGGGATTGCAGACGGGAGAGATGATGGTCGCCGCTGGTTGATTTTATTATACATTAAACGTGCGCGTATATCTTCTCTGCTATCCGGGGCTGCTAACCCAACGAGAGAGGAAAAGGTGTTTTCTGGGGTCCCCTGGATGGCCGCTGCCTTTGCGAAGAGAAACCTCTGAGCAGTTTTGCAAGCTCCACGCCCTGGTGGAGAGAGAGAGATCGAGAGAAAGGGAGAGAGAAAGAGATCCCTTCCCCCATCTCCATCTTCCTCATTGGAGACCAGCTGAAGGAAAGCAGAAGGAATCCCTCCGTCGGATGGCTCCCAGGGCTTGAGGATCGCTTCCGAAAGGTGAACCTAGGAAGACCTTGCAGGAAGGAGATGGGCTTTCCTCTTTGTTCTGGACAGCATCGTTTCAGGATGTGAAGCGGCGGGCACCTCTCCTGGCGCAGCGGCGGCGGCGGCGAGAAGACCGCTGCCTGGGGACCTCCAGCCCATCTTTTGCACCGGGAGCCTGGCAGAAGGCAGCGAGGCTGGCGCGGTGGGCTTCGAACTCCCCTCTCCCCGCTCTGTAGCTCTACAGATCTTATTTCATCGCAGGGGATTTTGGCCAACCGGGGTGCCAATGGGCACGCTGCCTGGCGTCCCTGGCGGTGCAGTGCTCTCATCCGAACGGGCACACCGGTTTCCCCGATGGGAGCCGGGCTGCCAGTTCTAGGGACTTGGAGGAACTGGGATGGATGGTGGAGCAGCTGCCCTAGGAACCGGCCGCCGTGGGGAGTGAACCCCAACGCCTATGGGTCCCTGGAGCTGCAGAGCAAGGTAGGTACGTTGCTGGGCTGTCGGGGCTTCTTGGCACCCAGAGACTCCTCCGGAGATTTGGGGCGCAAGCCGACTTGTCTGGGATACCGAGGGAGCTGGCTGGGTGTATTGGCTCTGGAGACAAGGTTGTAAAAAATAATAATAAAATATATTTGTAGCATGCTCTGCCTTATGGGTCTTACAAAATCTTGCACAAATTGAAATCTATGTTGCTAAAGAGCTCTCAGTTGCACCCATCGGCTAGAAACATTTTTTTGGGGGGGGGGGTGGATTTGTGATAGATTTGGTTTTTGGTTTTATTTTTTGAGGAGTTGGAGGAAGAATCAGGATTTTAACCAGATAAATGTGGTTTTCTGAGCATGTGCAGAGTGCATTTGCTTTGCCACTGAATTCCTGTGCCTACTGAGGCCTCGCCCGACTTAAAAAAAAAATCTGGAAGGTGAGGAAGAAGAAATAGAGCATGTGCAGAGTGCCTTTCCCCATCACTGCTCAGTAATCCTTGCAAGGGCCATTGGAAGTGATGGGGAAGTCCTATACCACCTCATCCCTTCCTGTCGCCTTGATTTTCTTTTCGCAGTCCACCCCCCCCTTCCTGCCCTGTTCATTAAAAACAGAATTATTCTAATCTACTCTTTCACGATGGGTGTGTGTGTCACACACTAAGGAGACGGATCAGTGGAGATTAAAAGAAAAGAAAATTAGACACAAATAAGAACTCTCCAAATGGCCATCAAACCCTTGGCTCCCGAGGATGATATTGCTATCGATTACTATGGGATGTAATTTGCATGCCCAAGTGCTTTACAGCGACTGTCTTCTTAACAAAGAGGAGTGATTAAGATGCTTTAGAAATCACCCCCTCCCCCGCCGTAAAATGGGGGTTTTTAATTATTGAACTCTTGGGTTTTGTTGTGAGATCATTCCTTCAAAGCCCTTTGAGCGAGGAGATGGGAGCGCACAGTGATTCATAATAATATGACCTCCCCTTCTTGTGGCTGCCTCGCCCAGCGGGCGCTCACAGAGAGAAGTTGCTTTGCCCCCTTTTAAAACAAGCTAGAAGGGAAAACATCGCTTCCTCCGGACTTTGAAATTGTACTGCCCCCCCCTGCGTGGGGTGAACCCCCAAAACCCTTGCAGTGTGGGAGTGACGTGTGTGTATGTGTGCGCTTTTGCGCCTTGCCCTTCCTGGCACCCCGAAATTCGCTGCCCACTCTTGCCGGAGTTGCTAGGAGAGCTGAGCCAATGAAGCGAGATTAAGGAAATTTACGAGATTTCAGGAGCGTGCTGTCTCTATATCTGTGTGATATAAGGTGTGGCAAGTGACTGAAAGGGTCCCCCCCCCCGTTCCTGAGCCCAGGTTTCCATCTCGCAGTTTCGTTTGAATGGCTCCAACTCTATTTCTCCCACAAACACTGATTTTTTTTTTATAATTTCAGCCATTTGGGACCTGGTGACTTTTGCATTATTATTATTATTATTATTATTATTATTATTATTATTATTAACCCACCTTTCATCCTAAAGTCTCAGGATGGGTTGCAACGATAAAACACAATATTTAAAACAGTTTAAAACAGTGGGGTGTAGTGGTTAGCGTGTTGGAATAGGAGCTGAGGGACCAGGGTTCAAATCTCCCACAAGACATGAGTGGCTGCGACTGTGTGTGTGTGTGTGCAATCACTGCCTCTCAGCTGACCCCCCTGCACAGGGTTGTTAAATAAAGAGGAGAACCATATATTACATCACCTTGAACTCACGGGAGAAAAAGGATATAAATGCAACCAACAAATAAATAATAATAAACTTGCAATCACAAAAATCAGGCGGGTCCTAAAAATATACGCCCCAAGTGTCAAAACCCAGGGGGGAAGGGGCTTGCAATTTCCACCCCCACCCCAATTTTCCTGCAAGCAGAGGGCAAGATTATTGGGCTGTAAGTATTTTGGGAATGTACGCTGTTGAGCAGCTAGTTTAAGGCAGACTTTGCTAATCTGGTGCCATCCAGATGTTCTGGGCAACAACTCCTATAAACTGCTGGGAGTTGTAGCGCACCACAACTGGAGGGCCCCAGGTTGGCAAATGATGGGTTAAGGGAAGAGGCTGCCGGGTTCTTTCCTCTGACAGGGACAAGAGGGTATTGGGTAGCATTTCCCAAACTTGCTTTCTCCAGCTGTTTAGGGACTACAATTCCCATCATCCCTGACCACTGCTCTTGCTAGCTAGGGATGATGGGAGTTGTAGTCCTAAAACAGCCAGAGACCCAAGTATGAGAAGCACTTGTATAGGGACACAACCCAAACATCTGCAGCACACCACAAGTTGGGAATCTGGGGTATCCAGCAGCGATCCTCTCCAGATGTTTTGGGGGGCTCCCATCACCCTGACAATTAGCCACAGGCTGATGGGAATTGTAGTCCAGAATATCCAAAGGGCTGGCTACCCATGGAGTGGATAGGGAATATCCATTTGTTTCTCTTTCCTTTCCTTTCTCAAGTCTCTAGTCCTCAAGAAAGGCAGAAAGACGTTTAGGGGTCTGCACTGAGCACGGGCTTGGAACTTTTTTTGCAGAACATGTGAACTTTTCCCCAAAGTGTTTGTGTGTCGTCCGCCCCCCCCCCCATTTTGACTCTGCACCAGAAATAGTCATTCTGCAAGAGGCAGGCAGAAACATTCAAGTGGTAAAGGGGTGGGATGTTTTGAACCCTTCCCTGACCCTCTTTTTTTTGGGGGGGGGTTGCTTCTCCTGCCTCCCCCCCTTGTCCCATGCCCTTGTTTCACTTGCTAATGTGAGCTGAATAAATTCTGCAACAAACAAACAAACAAGCCCAAAGCCTTGCAATATTAATACGTCATGTAAATTAATGCTGTTCTGCATAAATTAGTTGGAGCGGAGCGAATTTGGACTTTCTCTGAGCAGAAATCTGAGTGTAGCGTATGCATTATGGATTCAGTAACCCGCAAGTTGTTTTCCTCAGCGGAGCTCTGAACAATCTCTGTGCCTCATTTTGCACAACAGACCCAAAGAGAGACCCGTGCTTTATCCCCCCCCCCCGCCGCCTTGCAGCTTGGCTTACTTGCTCGAGTTACCACATCAACGAAAGACCAAAAATGCAGAGAGAATACAGAACTCTTTATTGCAGCAGAAGAAATATCATATATTTATTCAAGCACCCTGTTAACAGATCTGGGACAGGCCACATTTTACGCAAGGTGTTTCAGCATGAGCCAAACCAGCTTCCCTTTCGCATGAGGTCTTCATTCGTTGCTTAATGCAACACAGCAAACCTGTACAAATAAAATAAAAATAAATGAAGGGCACGTTAAGGTCAGCGCTTCTGAAGTTATCAGCCAACCGTACATCAAAAGTGGCAAACTAAATATTCACCAACAGGCCTTGACATCTGGCGCATAAAATTTTAAAGGAGGCAGGCAAAGCGATTCGCTTCAAATCTACGTTCTCAACAGCTGCCCTGGGTAGATAAACTGACAATTGTCAGTAATAACCAATTAAATTCGCATCTACTCTCTGAAGCCCCCAAAGAGTTTGGGGGAGAGAGGGAGGTTGGATTAGATAGGGCGCAGTGAACTTTTGGCTCTCTGAGTGTTGCTATGGGTGCTCTGGGTGTACGGACTACAACTCCCATGGCGACTGGCCGTGCACGCTGGGGCTGATGGGAATTGTAGTTCAGCAGCAGCTGGAGGGTGCCACCTAGATTCGACCTCGGAGCGCCAACCTTCAACTCAGTCATGCATTTGGTAACCCCTCTGCCCTATGGAACTCCCTCCCACCAGATGTCAAGGAAACAAACAACTATCTGCCTTTTAGAAGACATCTGAAGGCAGCCCTGTTTAGGGAAGCTTTTAATGTTTGATGTTTTATTCTGTTTTTAATCTGTTGGGAGCTGCCCAGAATGGCTGGGGAAATCCAGCCAGATGGGATGATGATGATGATGATTATCCCGACTAAACATTAGGAGTTACTTTCTGAGAGCAAGAGCCGTTTGAGAGGGAAACAGATCCCTTAGGAAGTTGGTGTAATCTCTTTCATTGGAGGCTAGATAGCCGCTTGCCAGGGATGCAGTCGCTGTGATTCCTGCATTCCAGGGGGTTGGACTTAGATGACCCCCGGGAGACCCTTCCACCTCTTCAATTATATGATTAAATTAGAACAAATGAGTCACGAAGGCTGGACATGGTGCAAGGAAATCAGGCCGAATGCTCAATAAACAGGTCATCCGGAGGAGCCGCTGCTCCAAATGCCCCATCCAAACGCCTCCTGCATTGCAGGGGGTTGGGCTAGATGACCTTTGGGTGTTTTTTCTGTTAATGGAGAAATCTGAGGGCTCCCTTGGACAAATAAACAAGGACCCCAGCCAGGAATACCAGAGCAAAACAGCAGCCAGTAGGCTTGGTCTTGATTGAAGACTGTCGCGACAGGACTCCCACCTGCCACAAGGTGGAACAAGATAGAAGCCCCAAACAAGAGAGAACCCCAACTTTTATTAGCTGCTAATCCCTGTTAAGTTGTGGGCAAACAGCTCTTCTTTATTCTGAGGCCAGAACTGAACTGAGCTGAAGGGCTCAGTCAGCCTGCTTATATAGAGCTCCAGTACCTTGTTACCGTAACAACATTCTAAAACTATCGATCCTGAACGTCACTTCCGATCCTTCATTTGCATAACTATCTACAGTATCCCCCTGCTGGCCCAGGGTGAGAACTTCAGTACATAACAATCCCCATGTTGTTGTTGTTGTTGTTGTTGTTGTTTAGTCGTGTCAGACTCTTTGTGACCCCATGGACCAGAGCACCCCCATGTTACACCCCCCCCATACATCACGGTTACATCATGAAAGGGGAGGTCTGGTGGCAGTAATCTGAGCATCCTGGACCCTGCCCCATGGTTTCCCTTGCCCTCCACCAAACACCCATCAAGTGTAACAAAAAAGATATTTACATTTCCCTGTTTCCCAGCCAAGTTCATCACACCCTTTGGTCTTCA